ATTGCTTTTTAACAGAGGACTCTTACAACGAGGAGACCTCTCACATGACGCTAGGACCACAATGCTGCCAGTAAAAGATCAGCTATGCCTCTGAAATCTGTATTTGAAAGAATTAATGACTCTACAGGATACCCGGCTGCAGAGAAAAACTGTCAGTTACACAAAGCTTTTTTACATTATCTGGCAAGGCAAAAGGACTCTCACTTTATAGCAGATCAGTGGCCTAAATTGTGTGAGTTTCAAAAGCTCACTATGAGCAAAACTGCACAGGGACCTTTAGCTGAAAGAGAAGCAGTTGAACACTTGTTTGCACCTCCTTTCAATTTCCATCCTTTCTTCCCTCAGGGCACCTCTCACAAACCCTCTTGAAGTGCACAAAAGGTATGTGCCATACTACTTATGCAGTGTGAGGTGCGGAGGGTTGGTGATCACAGGGAAAGATTGAATACATATTCTTAATCTACACAGTAGCTATTACAAACTTCAGCACTTGGACTCAGAGAGATTAGCAGGGACAGTCTCAACTACCAGAGCCTGCAGCTGAGCATGTATTTTGCAGTCTCTCCTGGAAAATCAGATTTTTCTGAATTTTTTTTTTTTTTTGGCTGATCAAAACTGCTTTCCTGCAAAAATACAATTCTGGCGTAAAGGAGGGGAAAAAAAGTGTCTTTGGGCATTTAGTTAGACAGCAGCTTTTCCACATCTCCATTGCCTTGCTGTAATTTCTGCCTGCCCTCATTGGCGCTCTGTATAGCTAGTGTCTTGCAGGTCAGTTATGACTTCTGAGGATACCATACACATAGTGGTATTCCTGGCTACTTCCAAAAGGGAAAGATGTGTAATTCCTCACCCAGGGTGGTTTGATATATATAAACTATAAAGCTGTTTTCAAAAGAAAGCTTAATTCTCTGAAATTTAAATGTTAACTGTCAGTTTCTTTTTACAGCACCTGTTCTGAGGCTGAGCTTGCTACTTCACCAGGAAACTTACTGTTTAACCTAAAACTAACTGATTTATTCTTTTGACCCTCTCTGAAGTCATAGCAGTAATCAGTGGTGCTGCAACTCCAGTTCCTCAGGAAACCATATAAACCATGGACTGGCTATGCAGGGACTGATGATTCAGATTTACTTTATTCTCTTTTGTTGTTCTGAGAAGATTCCTTTTCATGTTAAAAGACTTCAAAGCTACTGATTAATCTGAAACCCACTGAAAATACTCCCTAAGTTCTGAACTTCAGAGAATGCTGCTGCAAACATAATCTCCCCTGTGTTTCTGATAGTACCACCTATAAAATGGATATTATGGACTATTCTTCCCAGACTCTCAGCTCTGAACTATAGTACTAGAAGTGATATCACTGTATTTATTTATGGTTCATGCTCCCTGGATCTTATCCCTGTTCAATCCCTGGGAAAATTATTAACGACATTGGCAGTCTTGGAATGAAAATAAAGTGGTTTTCTTCATATAAACATACCTAATGTGACAAGCCTTGCCTCAATGGCAACAGTGCCCATGAGCAGCTGTCTCCACAATAATGAGCTGTCAAAGCTTCAGTGCAATTTGCATTTGTGTGAGTTGTAAAGATATCCAGTGTTTTCTGCTTGCCGAACGACAGTGTTAAATTGATTACGAAAGTGTGAAAATTTACAGGAGCAACAGTAAACTCTGAAAGTAATCAGCTTTTTGCAGGGCACAACGTCATCTGGATTTATATATATTGGTCAGTATACGTCAGTCATTAAATCACATATACAAGTGAAAATCAAGAAAGTATGTCACATTTCACTCTGTGTAGCACCCCTTGAAGCCACGTGTGTGTTTTGCCACACACAATCCTGAACCTCTGGCAAATGCTGTTGCTTGTGAGACAACAAATGCTGTACCACACTTTGTGATGGCTGTTGTCTTGTGATTGTTAATTGTCATGGGGGAAGAGTGTTTGCTTTTTTTTTTTTTTAACTTATGGAGAGTACAACTTCATGAGAAACAGACTTTTAGATGCTTGAACAACCCCAGAACTTTTGAAAACACTCTAGGTATCCAACTGACTGTAGCTGCCCAGCTGTATAACTCGTGGATTTCCTCTTAATGTTACACGTTTGAAGTGTATCATCAAACCTCACAGAGGCAACAGCCAGCATTATTGAAACATACTTCAGTTCTGGATCCTTATCTTCCTGTTCATGTTAAGGACTGCTCTTTGCAATGTTAGGAAAGATTTGCTCAAAGATCCACATGCTTTTCAATTACAGTGAATATCTGTTTATTATAAACTTCTGTATGAAGTAATAATGTTGACGTTCAGCAGTGGTACAAGTTTTGTATATGTACATTCCTATCCTGGAGTAATGTGGAAAATTAGTACCTTAAAACCATCCTAACAAAAATTCTGAATGCTGAGGAAAAGCAGCTTGAGACAGCATCTAGCAAATGTCAAGTTTGTTAGTATGTTTCCCGTGCTCCTCATATGGCAGACAGTGGGAAACGCTCTTCACGGGCAAACAGGTTTTGGATCTGCCTCTGTTCCTGCCCCCCTAAGGTGTGCTGCAGTGGTGTTTTGGATAGAGGGAGGATCGCTCTGCCAAAGTATCAGTGGGAAGGGTGACCCCAGGGAGGCCAATGCTTCACACTTCAGAAAGCAGGGTTAGGTCTCAGTCTTTTCTTCCTGACTTTTCTTCTCTGAAAAACGGCATGCTGTGCCTACCAGCAAAATCTGATTCTCCTACAAAGACGTCATTTACACTTGCTTCCTTTAAAACTGCCAGTCACTAGAAGCGGCCAGTCTGCAGCTCTACAGCCATTAAGCTGAGAGGTCCATGGTATGTTCATTTCATGCCCCTGCTGGCATGGCTCTGTCAGTGACACAAAATCCCTGGTTGGAGCAGATAGTAAGACACCAGAGGCTGCTGAGGCCAACATCTCTGGGGCTCCCAAAAAGCTTCTGGAAATCCTGTCACACCAGTTAAGTGTGCAAGGTAATGCTGCTGGAGCACTGACTCCAGTGTTAGCCTTAAAATGGTGTTTATTATGTGGAGGTATGAAAAAAGAGTCTTCAGAAAGATGTCAGGCCCTCCAAGCCAATCTTAAGAGACTAATATATTACCTGCTGGCCTTTCAGTAAGGTTGAGATTTTTTTTAAATCCACAGAGATTTGAAGAGTAATTTTTTTAGCTCAGCTGAAAAAAACCCAACTCTATTCAGCACAGGTTCAACGTCAGGCATTGGTTTCACTGTCACTGAAGTCAATGACACTTAAATATCTGCTTAAGAACAAAGTACTGATTTGGACAGATTGATCCAGTTGGCTTGCCACTGAGAACAATGTGAAAGTTAAGCAGGAGCTGTGAAATCTGTGGAAAGGAGCAATGACTTCAGCCCTCTGCTACATGCGTTTAAGGCATCTTATGTCCTCAGGCAGCTTTGGATGAACTTAGACCCATCTGGCACAGAAGAGAAAATAATTCTGATTTTAACAGACAGAGCAAGGAGATGCTGGGTTCAGGATGTGGTCTTCAGGGAGCTTTGGCTGCTGACTCCAGCACAACTGCAAGTGTAGCTGCAAGGCTAGTAGATGTAACTGAGCAAACTTGGATGCTATTGGCACCAAACGCACATCAATAGCAGCACTGGGTGGCATCAGTTACCCCTGAGTTTCTGCATAAATATGCAGAAACGTGAGTTACAAGAGTTTTGCTGAGGTAGAGAAAAGTAGCTGAGTTCTGACCAGCATACAGCAGTCACACTTTCAATTACAGACTAGGAGCTGCCTAGCACAGACTTTCTTTTCCTTCATTTTCTGTCACAATCTAAACCAAAAAATTATAGAAGTCTAGCAGTGATCCAGGCTGGGTTTTGTATTTGCTTCTGCAAAGCAAATTTGGTTGGTAATCTTTTTTCTTTTCTTATTACATTTTCAGAGCAAAGCTGAGCCATCTCTTTTTATACAAAACAACTATTTCTCCTGGGTACTTAAATGGCAGCTTCTGCCATTTTACTCACATCCCTTACATGGGCCACAGTGAAGAGAGCATTTTCTTCCAGCTCTTTTGCCTGAAGATGACTACTGGCATCAAACACATGTTTGCAAAACATTGAACTATCACCTTTTTCCAGAGTGTGTAACGCTAAGTTGCCATCTCTGTAGGTTATAAAGTTTAGCTCCCCATGGATACTACTACCATTTGTGCCTACGACAGTCAAACACACTGAATTTAGTTTCTACTATTTTAGCTACACAGACACAGATTTTAGTTAGGCAGTTTGATTTAGCAAAAGTCTGGTTTAGGAGCGATACGTGAACTACAAGTAAAGAAAATCCTAATGCTTTAGATAGCTCAATGCAAAGCCAAGTTACAGTGAACAACTTCCCTGAGAAGCATCATCTGGTGAGCAATCTGCCGTGCCCACACACAAACAGTGCACAACATTAAGACCAGTAATAATAAATGAACACCCTGAATGCTGGTTTTAGCCCTTTTTTTCCCCTTTGTTCTAACAACCTTTTTTTTTGGTCTGCAAAGCGTGTCCTCCTCCAAAAGCAAAGGTAAGGACCCTCAGAAAAGCAGCTTCTCACCCGTCCTAGACTGCCTTTCTCCTCTCAACTCTACAATTTAACGTGGCATATGACTCCGGGTTCACAATTAGCTTTGCGCCGAGATCTACCCTGCCACGGAGAGGATGCTCGTCCCCCTCCACGTCTGGGGTGGGATCAAGGGCCAACACGGGAGAGGATGCAAGAAGAAGGAAAGACCAAAACCACCGATTCCGGCGGCCCCGGAGACAGAGCGCTTCCCTCCGGGCAGCACTCGGGCAGTGTCCTTCCCCATCCCGACCGCCGGCCGGCTC